GAGGTGCGGGCCCTCATCGCCTGGATGCGCCGCAACAAGTGAGTGCGGCCCGGAGCGGCCCCCCCTTTGCACCGGCACCCCTGGGCCGGCCTCCCCTGCCCGGCTCCCCTCGGTACCGGCACCCTGCTCTGGGGAAAGGGAGACCCTCGGCTCTGCTGCTCCCTGGGAGCTCCAGCCATTCCCCACCAGTTTCTCCCTGGCCTGCCTCCTGCGGTGGGTTGACCCTTTATCACAGCTGGGGGCAGTTCTGCACGCAGGACTGGGCTGGCCCTTGTACGGGAGAGCAGGTCAGTGGCTGCAGTTTGCTGTGCACCTGCCTAGGAGCTCACTAGCCCCACCAGGCATGCTCCGTGCCCTGCTCGTACCCAGGCGTTCCTGGCCCCCGTGGTCACCTGACTGTCTCCCTTCTCCAGGAGCCCATAGCTGGAAACTTCTCGTCTGCTTCAGCTTGAGCTTGTCTGTGGGTCTTGCTGTTGGGCCGAGAATGCTTTCACCATGAGCTGTGGGATGCTTGAAATACTTGGGGTTAAGTGTCTAGCGGGTCTGGGTACAGACACGTTAACAGAGTTGTTCTGAAGAGGGCATCCCCCCTTTTTTTTTTGTTTCATGGAAAATTACATGGATTTGGCAATAACGCTGTGCGGGAGTGTTTCCAAATACAGGCCCTGCTCCCGTGGCCCTCTTCCCCCTCTGTCCTTCTGTTGAAGCACTTAGGACTGAGCCTTCAGCACCCACACTGACCCGGGGGTCAGTGGTGGGAAGCTGCCATGCCTGGAGCCCAGCAGCCTGGGAGGGGAGATGGCACCTTTGAAACCCAGCTGCAGTACTGGGGCAGCCCCAGAGAGAGCAGTGGCCAGGTTGGGCACTGCCTGTTAATTTACTGTGTGCTCTTCTTTAGAGAACTGTGGAATGTCCAGAGCACTGAGGTCGGTGTCACCAGCCATGTGAAGCTGTGCAGAGAAGGCCACAATGCATGGGATATGAGCAAGGAGCTGAAACAAACTGTGTCCCTCTTCCCAAAATGGGGACTGTGGGAGAAATGGAGAGGGGATGGCTGGCGGCCGTGGTGCCACTGTAGGGCTCTTGGTTGGATCCAGCCAAGGTGACATTCAGTGCCAGGTGTTTGCTTGATTTTAGGGAGCGAAATTTGCTTGGACAAACTGTGTTAAAACGTGGTGCCCATGGGGAGTACGACTCTGGAGGAATTGTGCCAGTGACTCCTGCTCCTGGTGATCCTTTAGGACAGCTCTGATGCAGTTTGCTCTAAAATCCCTCCAGACCTGGTTCAACTCAAAATTAGTTACTAGGAAAACTCATGCACATTCCTTAAAAACATTTCGAAAATACTTTGGGCTCTTTATTTTTTTGCAAGTGTTTGAGGTGAGATTTGCATGTAAGCCAGGGTGCAACGGGAGGAACGTGGTGCTTTGTGTGTCCTCTGCCTGGCAGCACCAGTGCAATTGTTAGTCTAAGGTAACCACTGATAGGAGAGTGACTGGGTAAACAGAGCTGTGTGGTTTAAAAATGCCATGGTGGGTATAACGCAATGTGTGTGCGCTGTTTTAAGCAAGGCAAAGGTGTTGGTTGTGTTACCTCTGCTGAGAAGCTCAATCCCATTCTACCAAACGAGAAGGAGAGCTCTTTTTCCCTCAGTGCTGGGTTTGGTGGGAAGGGGAAGAGCAGAGACAATTACCTTTTGGGCTCCATTGAGGTGCTTCTGCTGCCTGTGATGGAACTGAAGTGTGGTATCGGCCGTGCTGTGCTGGCCTGTGGCACATCCAGGTTCTCTTCCTGTGAGTCACTTCTGTATGCACCAGGCATTGCTTGAAGCTTGCTGAAGAGCCCTGTGCATTGCTTGATGCTCAGGGCATGGCTTGTCTGTCATGGAATTTGAGGGCTCTATCTTAAGCTGCAGCAAGAGACTTGTTCCATCTCCAGTAATGCCAGATGCCAGCACAGGGAATGAACAAACCAGTCCTGAGAGTTGGTTTATTGCAAAAATCTGTTGTCTTTTCCAACATGCTCCCACCTGGATGCTGCCCAGACCCTCTGACGGTCCTGCTTACCATGTTGGAGGCTGCTGTTGATAGGAGACCATACATCTCCCAGGACAGCTGTATCTTTTTGTCCAAGAGTAGTCAACTATATGTCTGATGAGTGCATATCTGTTGACATAACCTTGGTGTAGCTGCAGCTTCATGGGCATTCTCCTTGCACAGGTCTCGTGGATCACTTCCTCTTCCAGTGCCGTTACTGCTGGGCAGCTTGTCCAGTTGGCCTGTTTTGCCTCATTGATCCCAAATAGAGGCTCCTAAGAACACCGTTGGGGTGGGAAGGCAGTGGAATAACTGGTTGGGCAGCTGTAGCCGACTTTCTGTTGAAATTGTTCCAGTGTGACACTTTTTTCTTCTACCCACCCCCAGGTTTCTGCTGTCTGGCAATCTCCATGGTGGCTCGGTGGTTGCAAGCTACCCCTATGATGATTCTCCTACACACAAGCCCACAGGAATCTACAGTAAATCAGCTGACGATGAAGTATTCAAATATTTGGCAAAAGCTTACGCGTCGAATCACCCCATAATGAGAACTGGCAAACCCAATTGCCCTGACGAGGAGGGAGAGACCTTCCAAGATGGTATCACCAATGGTGCCCAGTGGTACGATGTAGAAGGTAAGAGATACAAACTTGGTGAATTGCTCTGACTCTGCTCGCTCACCTAACAGAGTGTCCTACAGAAACAGGTTCTTGCTCCCACTGAGAACTGAGATCCAGCCCAGTGGTGATTACCACAGAGGAAGGTACGGTGGGTGAAGTGATATTTTTAGGTTTGAATGTGTTCTGGGAGCTTGAAATGAAAGGGGTTGGCATCATCGTGGGCACACCAGGAAGTGCTTGATGAATCACAGTTTGGGAGATGATTGTAGGGAATAGATCACAGCAGGCTGGAGAATTAATTCTTCCTGACCCTGTTAGATGCTGGAGAGTTACCCTGCGTGTGGGAGGCTTCATTTGCCAAATGAACTGTCAGTGGGTCTCTAGATAGTTTCCTCTTTTCTGCCTCAAAATTTAGTAATTATTGTTAAATGGATGAAACCAATGCCAGTGTTCTGTGAGGTTTTTAAACCTCCAAACTTGTGATTTTGTAAATGATTGTAGAATAGTCTGTTGTAAAACCGTGTAAAAAACGTGGTCTGAGCAAACGTAGCTGCTCTGGCTGAAGTGAGGCTTCAAAAAGTGCAGCTTCTCTAGGAACTGCTCTGCTGTCAGACCTGTGCAGATGACAACAACCTGCACAACCTGTTCTTGTCCACCAGTGTGGTGGGATATCAAAGGAATCTGAAACTCAGTCTGCTGGGGCTTTTAGGAGGGCTCCTGATCCCTTTGTTGGTAGCTCCACTGGAGGTGATTTGAGTATAAGCCAATTACCTCCTGGTGTTGGCACTCTGCTTGTGTGGAGGTGGCTGGCCTGGCTCAGCCATGGGCTCCTCTGTGTGTCTCAGTTTTGCTGAAAGTGAGATTTAAACAAGAGTTTGTGTGACGAGGTGCTGTTGTGGAGAAGTCTCTGTGGGTTGGCAGAAGGAACAGCCTTGGCCACGTCACTGGCAGAAGTGACACCACTGCCCTGCCCCTCGGCGGAAGTTGTACAACCATGGACTCCCCAGTGCAGAAACCTTTGTGGTGGGGATGCACCAAAAAACTTGCATAAGTGATTTGAAGAAACTGCATTGCTTTGCTGTGCCTGTTCTGCTCTGCTTCCCCTCCTGCTAGGGCTGAGGGATGGTGGCAGGAGTGCTGAGTGAGCAGTGACATCAAATGGTGTTTATCCTTCTGAGCTTACAGCTTAAATTCTAATAAGACAGTGTCTTACCAAAACATGGGCTTCAGAGCTGAGTCCTGTGCTAACCCTGCACCCACCTTGCTTGTAAAGGAGGGAGAGGGATCCATTATTGAGCCTTAACATGTCACCTCTATGCTGGAAGAGGAAGTTTTGCTTTCACTGGTGGCTGAATCATTCCCCAGGACTTTACTGGTCAAATAAGATGTCGTGTTCACGTAGGATGTGATTTTCATCTCTTTCTCTAGTGGCTCCCTTCTTACCCCCACCCTGTCGAGCACACCAGCCCTGGTGTTTGTTGGCTCAAGGTTCACTCTGCTGCTGTGAAAAGCCCAGCAGGAGGAAAGTTTGTGTAATCTGGTGAATTTGCTTACGAGGGAACAGGATATCCTGGATGATCTGTGCTGCCTTGCTCTGGTGGCAGTCGTTATCAGCAAACATCTCAGGTTTGTTAGCTGCCGCCCGAAGGTTTTTTGCCCTGAGGTGAGGTGGATGTGCTCTGAAAGAAGGGGGGTCCAGAGCTTTGGCTCTGTGCTCCCCTTCTCCCAGTGAGTACGTGTTTTGCTGCAGTGTTAACGTCTTCATCCTCCTGCTAGGATGTGAGCTACGTGGCTGGTGCCTGTGGCACTGGTGTGTGAGCCTTTCGGGCTGCCTTTGCCTTGCCAGCGAGCAGAGCAGAGGTTTCACCTACTTCCTTTCACAGAAGTGGCAAGGTGTGAGCTGGAGACCCGTTTGCTCATTGCTGGCACTGCTGTGGTTTATATTCTGGGCAATGCCCTCCAGCTTCCAGCCTCTGTGGAACTAAACCCTTTTGCTGTGACGAGCCACAAGCTTGGGCTGGGCACTGCTGGCTGCAGGCCGTTCATGGGCAGAGAGTGTGGGGAGTGTGCACTGACACCAGCTCTCAGAACAGTGTTGCCGAGGCTAGCAGACCTGTGTGGGTTCTCCCCAAAGTGGTAATTTACATCTTACTGCTGTTAAAGATGAACATGTGGTGGGTCATGGCTGCCCTTGGAGTGCTTCCCAGGCTGAGGAGTTCACGTAAAGCGTAACCCCCTGGAGCTGAGATCCAGGGAAGGGCACAGGTGAACTAACACACTGCAGAGGTCAGTACACGAGTATTTTGATGTTGTGTGAAGTTGCTGTGTCCTTTCACAGAATCCCAGCGTGGTGGGGGTTGGAAGTGACCTCTGGAGATCACCTCATCCAACCCCCTGCTCCAGCAGGTCACCCACAGCAGGGTGCTCAGGATGGCATCCAGGTGGGTTTGGTCTCCAGAGCAGGAGACTCCACAGCCTCTCTGGGCAGCCTCACAGAAAAGAAGTTTTTTCCTTTGAGGTTTTAGGTTTAACATGTATTTTTGGTAGTGGATGAAGAGCAGGCAAAGGGGAGTCAGTTGTACACCCTGTGTGACAGAAGCAGCAAAACCACCACGGTGGCTGCATTGAATTATCCGACTTGCTCAGCTCTGTGCCAAGGGCTGCTGAGGCTCATACGTGGATCAGGCAGCCTTTCCCAGGGAATGCAGAGCTTAAATGTGCAGTAGAATGAGGCTGGTGGAACCCCAGTACCCTGCAGGGTGACCTGTGCTGGGCTGAGCTCTAGAGACACCCAGAGCTCAGGGTTCTGTGAACGGTGCAAGGCACGTGCTTGTGGCCTGTGGATCAGGTTGTGCCAGGAGAGACCGCAGGCTCCCAGTGAACTAAAGCCAGAAAAAACAAAGAAATGAGAACATAATGTATCAACAGGTGGAAATTTTCCTGCCACGTTTTATCATGTGAAATCAAACATGCTGGAGAGCCAGCTGCCACGGGATTCATTGTCCAGGAGTTCCCAGGTTTATGCTGCTGCCAGACCCCATTAACTTCCATTTGAGTTTGCAAACAACCTCTTACTGTGTCAAACTGAGGTGGTAAGTGCAGACCATTGGAGTAATTGGTAAGGTCAAATGTTCACAGAGAAGGATGGCTCTGTGCCAGACAGCTGAATTTGGCTTCTGCATTCCAGCTGCTATAGATAAGCAGAACTGTGACTGGGATGCTTTTTAGAGGCTATCTCTGCTGTACATGCTCTTACTCTTCCTTCCTTTTTAACCTCTGGGGGTTTTAACTACTGAGTGCCTGGTTCAGATCAAGAAAACCATGCAGGTCTGGGCTGGTGTATGGTCCAGGTGGTGCTTGGAAAGTGGTTAAGAAACTGCTTAAGTCTTATCTGTGGGAAGGGCATGCTTGCCCCTATTTTGGGAAGAACCCAGTTCAGAAACTGAATCCAGTGTTGAATAGGGTATTTTGTGGGCAGCCTTGGAAGGTCTTGTTATTTACAGTCTCTTCTTAAAAGTTATTTTCCTTGCTAGTTTGATGGTCTGGTATGGAAGTGTTTGAGGTGTTTCTGATGTTTACCAGAAGGCGTTTCTCAGGTTGGAAGCAGATGTAGGTTACATGTCTGTTTGCTCAGTTGTTCTGACTGTGGCTACTAGTCACACTGAGCTCCCGAGAGCTGCTGGGTGCTGCTGTGCTGGTGCAGCTCTCAGGAAGACTCTGTCCCCTTCTCTGAGAGCCCCAGGAAGGCTGCATGGCTTGGTGGGTGGTGCAGGCGGTGGACCACACCACCAGAACA